TGAGCCCATTCTTCAATCATGTTTCTTTCGTTTCGCAAAAAAGAACAAATTCTGAATTTGAATAATTTATCAGTAACTACGGCTTTCTATTATCAAGTGCATGTGAATGTTTTCAGTGAGCTTACGTTTTCCCGATAGTGTAAAGTAAGAATGGACAGTTCGTCTTTCCGGAATTTTGGTGCTTTCAATTTGTGTGCATAGGAAAATTTCTTTTTTTTTTAATAATCTTACTTTATGATTGTAACGATAACCCATCTGACAATTTCTCCGGGGATTGATTTCTAAATTATTGTTTTTAGTTAGCACCCAACAATTGGTGAGAATTATCTCAAATTGAGGTTTATCAAATCACCCGATGAGCCCATTCTTCAATCATGTTTCTTTCGTTTCGCAAAAAAGAACAAATTCTGAATTTGAATAATTTATCAGTAACTACGGCTTTCTAATATCAACTGCATGTGAATGTTTTCCGTGAGCTTACGATTACATTCACATCCAAGCAGTCCCACCAGTTTTTCTCCGAGTGCCACTAATAAGGGCAGAGACTAAAGCTTCAAACATTCCGTTAGCTGATCTTGATCGTTGTGTTTGCTCTTTGAGAGTAGACGTTTTGTTGCAGTAACAAAGAGCACTTCAGTGTCGAGTAGCTGACTAAACGAGTCGGGTGTTCCATCCTGTCTGCAATAGACGATCGCCAATATCTGCTGCTTCTTTGATATCAATAAACATGTCAATTTCTCAACACAACCTGGTCTGTTTAGCTAATTGTTATCACGAAAAAAGTCTGAATTGAAATTTGATTACGCACGCTAACCGCGGAAAAATAAAAACACATCAGAAGTGTTTTCAAAAGCACGAAAACATCATTGTCTTAACAGTTTGCTTAAAGTTTCTATATGTTATGATTTTTTACATTTTACTTTTCGTTCTGCAAAAAACTTTATTGACCTTTTCAATTTCAATTTCTCATAAAAAAATTTTGTTTTGCCATTTTTACATAGATTTTAGGGTCAAATCACTGCTTCTAAATTTCTCACACTAGTTCATTTTAGGCCGTTTTTTTTCTACCACTTTTTTGTAATTCTTCTTGTGTAAGTTTTCATGAAAGTTGCCTGTTTGATCTTTACCTTCTGACTTTAACTCAGGCCTATCGCCATCTACATTACATTCATTCAAAAGACTCTAAGTTTTTTTCCTGAAAAAATCTTACTTAATGATCGTGACATTGTTCCGTCTGATCGTTTTTCCGGATTTTCCAAACCTTGTTTGTAGGTATTGCCCAAAGCCTGGTGAGATTTCTTCGACTTTGACGTTTTCCTAAACACCCGCTGAACCGTTCGTTCAATCACATTTTTTATCGCAAAATAGAACAACTTCCGAAATTCAGAATCGTACAAGTCAACAAACGCAACTTACATTCAAATTCAAGAAGTCTAATTTCCCCTGACTATTAGCTTACTGCAGAGAAGATGAACAATTTGGGTGCCATTTTTTGCTGGCTGTAGATTAATTTTCCTGTCACCACTCATATTTATCACAATACAATCTAGATCGCAAATGAAATACTTACAACCAAGTCAGAATTGTATCTTTCACATTGTTTCATGGATATTTTGCAGAAGCTGATTCTGTCAGAAGTGTTTGCATAATTGGATTGGGTTGAACTCCCATACTGTTTGTCTTACCGTTTCAGACAAGTTCCGCTTTCAGCTCTTTCGTTCTATAGGTAACTCTTTTTTACCTTGAAGGTGGACGCCGTTTTGGTCATTCATTAGATTGCCTAATAGTGGTGCTAATGTTTTTACTACCTGTTCGTTTTCCTTCCGGTTTTTCAAACATCCGTCTATGAGAGCTTCTCAGGCTTGCTTCTGTGCTGAGTTTTTAGCTTTAAAAATTGCTCACTACTTCATTGCTAAGACAACAAATATAATTGAAGCCCCCAGTTTTTTCTATCCCTCTTCTTCCTACCTCATTTGTCCTTGCTTGGTAGTTTATTTGAAGCAATTTTCTTTTTTTTCCTGTCTCAACTCAGATCTCAAGAGAATAATTTAAAAACTTATGCCTTTTGGTCCAAAAAAAACTTCTTCGGCAAACAGAACTTCAAAAAATTTGGTTCAATCGCCTTATCAATGAATTTTCTCAAGAAAAGTCTTCGGAAACTTGTTACGTACTTTATTGTGATGACAAAACTGTCAGTACATGAAGAGTACATATACAGGTACACGTACATTGTCCATAAAGTAAAACGAGTCAGGTAATAACATAGTCGCAAGCTAAACACAAACGTAAAAGCATTAAAGTATCAATTTTCAATTATTCTTCTGAAATTTTAGAATAGTTCCTATTTTTTTCTAATTACTTTCGTTTTGCAAAAAAACGTTATAGGTTGTTTTCTTTTCGTTCCATCAAAGTTTTTTTTAAAATTTGCTGTGGCTTTTTGAAGTATAACTTTGGGGTCAACTCCCAGCTTCTACATCTTCACACGGTTTTTTTGGGCCGTTACCGCCACAAATTCAACGCCTTTAATACAACTAGATTTTGAGTGTTCTCTGCTTGATCTGTAGTTTCTGACTTTAATTGAGGCCCACCACGATCTCTACCAGACTCCTGCGAAAACTGTACAATCGGGGTGTCCGCCTTATGGTAACCCGCGAGCCCTTTTGCTTAAATGTCTGACAATTTAGCCCAATTAGGTAGAATTACATTCATAAAACTCATAAAACAAGCTGGAACTCATTTCTTGTTCAAAAGGGTTTTTCATGGAAAGCAAGCATATTTATAATTCCTTGTAATGAAAAATTTTGAGCTTCAGTTATTTTTTGCAGTTCGGTTCTCAGCATTTGCCATGGTGTTCCCAATAGTGTAAAGTAAGAATGGGCAGTTCATCTTTCCGCAATTTCGGTGCTTTCAATTTTTGTGCACAAGAAATTTTCTTTTTTTTTAATAATCTTACTTAATGATTGTAACGATAACCCATCTGACAATTTCTCCGGGTTTTGATTTCTAAACCATTGTTTTTAGTTAGCACCCAACAATTGGTGAGAGTTATCTCAAATTGAGGTTTTCCAAATCACCCAATGAGCCCTTTCTTCAATCATGTTTCTTTCGTTTCGCAAAAGAGAACAAATTCTGAAATTGAGTAATTTATCAGTAACTACGGCTTTCTAATATCAACTGCATGTGAATGTTTTCCATGAGCTTACGTTTTCCCGATAGTGTAAAGTAAGAATGGGCAGTTCGTCTTTCCGCAATTTCGGTGCTTTCAATTTTTGTGCACAAGAAATTTTCTTTTTTTTTAATAATCTTACTTAATGATTGTAACGATAACCCATCTGACAATTTCTCCGGGTTTTGATTTCTAAACCATTGTTTTTAGTTAGCACCCAACAATTGGTGAGAGTTATCTCAAATTGAGGTTTTCCAAATCACCCAATGAGCCCTTTCTTCAATCATGTTTCTTTCGTTTCGCAAAAGAGAACCAATTCTGAAATTCAATAATTTATCAGTAACTTTGGCTTTCTAATATCAACTGCATGTGAATGTTTTCCGTGAGCATACGATTACATTCAAATCCATGAAGTCCAATTTCCCCTGATTAATAAGTTTCTGAAGAACAAAATGAAAAACTTGGGTGCCATTTTTTGCGGCCTATACAACAGCTTTCCTGTTACCACTCATATTTCTCACAATATCAAGTGCGTCTCCTCAAACTTTTTTGACCACCATATCAGATTGGTACCTTTCACATTGTTCTATACGTCTATTGCAATAACAGAGTGTGGCAGAGCTGGTTCCGTGTTTGGACTGAGATAAAAATCCACACTTTACGTCATACTATTTTAGCAAGACTCGCTTTTATCTCTAGGTCATGTTATTAAATTGAATGCAGATTATTATATTGTTATTTTGGAACTAATTATTATCGGCTTTACTCAGATCGCAAGAGACTAACTTGAGAAGCATGCATCGCTTGATCCAAAAAAAACGGTCTTTGGCGCACAAGGCCTCGTAATTTCTGTACTTTTTGCAGTGACTATTTGTTAGTAGATCGTCAAACTAATCTGTATGACGACAAATTTTGAACTAACAAAGGTGTTTCAACAATAAATCTTAGTTAATTCTAAGCCGTCTTTTTAAAAATTCCATCTACAATGTCATCTACAAGTATAGAGCATTTTTACATGGAAATATCCTTCTAACTGTTCGTAGCACCAGAGCAGCCTTCACAATACCAGATTTATCGGTTAATGATGCGTATTTGTCATCAGTTCTGTTTTTTTCTTGCACGCAGTTAAGCTGGCACCAGATGCGGCTTTGCTTCAATTCAACCCCATTTGATCTATATGGTATTTTCTTGCAGCATCATGGGCAAAAACACGTGTTTTCACCCACTGTTTATACAATCGGGCCCACCGGCATTTCCTGTTTCAAAGCGAACTCACACTAATTCAGCCATAGTTTGGCAACAAGTAACAGCGATGGCTGCGCCCCTTGTTATCCCATTAAAATGAACGTAACATAAATCATTACACTTGAAATACATGTTGCTCAGCGCCTTAAGCAAAAGCTTTTTAGTTATGGATCCTCATTCAGGTGAGCACTAGGATATGAATTTTTTCAATCAAGTGATACTATAATTTCAACCGGACCTAGAGCAGTGTTTACAAGTGTTTCTCTGGCAACTTTAGTGTTGGTTTCGATATCGGCTCCGTCGATGTTGTCAAAACTTTTTGCAAGCATTTTTGGGGTTCACTGCGGTAGTGATAGAGCTGGTGGAAGGGGTGGCTCAGCCTTTTGCACCTTAGCCAAACCGTACACCCCGACGGGTTTGCCACTTTTGAACTGATTTTAGGATACAAATTATCACTTACCTCTTTCCGTTTGTACATGGTAAGTAATTATTTTATATTTTTATGTCAATTTTCAAAATTACACTATCAGTGGTTGCAGCTTTTTTGAAAAACTGAGCAGACTCCAACGAAGAGTTCAGTTTTATTTCATAATTCGCTTCTTCGTTACGCACAAATCAACCTTTTTATCAAAAGGCACAGCCAGCAACCCATCATCATGAAGATATTTTAACAATTTTTTATATGTTGGAGCAACATTAAAAATAATTTAGTTGAGGTGAAAAATTGAATCAGGCATCATAAAATTATACTCGTTTACATTCTGAGCAAAAATTGATTCATACTTAATTTTCTCAGTCAATTTGTTTCAGTTAGACTTTGAATAATTTTTTTCACTCTAAATCGTTTGTCCCAGCACTTTCTAGCACTTCTTTTGTTCCACTCTTGATAGTTGGTTGTTTCTGATGCCTCCAACTGACAGCAGCTCTTTCTGTAATCGGGCCAAAGTGTCTTCGTTCATGTTGGGGGTACGTGACAGAATCCAAGCATGTTTCACTTTATGGACGTACGCCTGAAATAGATTTGCAATGTGTTGAAAATTTTATATTGAAAAAGAAACCGCCTTGAAAAGAAACCGCCTTGTCCATAACAATTTTGACGAACGAGGAAAACTGACTGATCATTTTTCATTGTGATTTGTGAAACACTCACAGACTGAAGGAAAACTGACTGAAACATTTTTAAGTTAAACACTGCCGTAGCATCCAAATAAGTAAGAATTTTCAAAAATGATAGGGAACCCTTTAAAAAAATCAGCACTATATCAAAGTTGTTATCAAGTTTTTATAACTTAGATCAAAAGAAACTCTTGAGACGCTAAAATATTTTATTTCGCCAAGTTTCGTCGTCTTGATCAAATTTTGGATGAGTTTGACGAGTATTTTTTGGACATTTTCGAAAGTATTGACCAATAAACTGCTGTTTGATCACATGCATGCTCACAAAGTGAAGGAAATGAATTTTTGAAGAGGAAAACTTAGTCGCATGAACTGTCAGCAATTTCGCATTTTTAATTGCTCAAGAATAAGGTATTATGCTGCGACCTCGGCGGCAACATTATCAACCCTAGCGGCCTTGAAACCGACATCCTTTTGTTCTTGCAGGTGCGATGGGCGGGGAAGTGGATGAGGTCTCTGCCTCTCAGTCTAAAGGTGAGATACTGTAGGCCCGTGCAAGCTGCCTCCGGGTGAAGTCACACTTTTCAGCCAAGAAAATTGATCAAAAAGTTTGTATGTAATTCTTAAGCAGGGACGAACTGCGGTTTTTTTAAAAGCACTGAAAGACTTGTACATTCTCGTTTTTCCTATTGGGATAAACGGCCTGAATCTTATTCTTAATAATGATTCAATAACAAACCTGCAGGTATGCCTTTACTTCATTCTGGCACGCGTACAACACCATATACTCTCCTCTCTGGAAGTGGATGACGTATGCTTGGAATTTGGAGAAGGTTGTTGGAGACCGGTGGTGGAAGTCGAAATCCAACAGACCCGAGGGGGGATTGGGTTGCAAGATGGTGAGGTAGGTGATCTTCTCTTGTCCATTCTCCTCCCTCGCAGTCATCTTGAGGAAGTGCATTTTTTGACCTGCAGGTCATTGAACTCATTTTAGATTTTAATCTCATTTCCGCTTACTGCTGACGAATAAGCTGATTGTTTGGAATGAAACCCAAATTAAGACTCATTTTCCTACACCCACGTACGATTTTAAGAAGTAATAGTTTTGTTTACATTTTCCGATTGATTGTTACAAAAATTGGCAAGCGTATTAATTGACCATAACAATTATATTGGGTCTTCACACTTATATTCCTTGTAAAACAACTCGTTACATAATAAAATTGATGCTTATGTGAGGTGTCGAGGCCACTGGGAGTGATTTTGAGCCACTATTTGTCGCTAAATGCAAATTGCTGCATTTTTATTTACACTGTGCCATGTAAGGTCGTTTTTGACCAGTTTTTGCTAAGTTAGGTAGTTAAGCTGCTCTTCAGTGTTAAGTTGCTCTCAACCAGTTGTGCGTCTTGAATTCTTGTCGCGCTTTTTTTTGAAACAATTAATACTTTAGAAATGAATTAATAGTCAGAAATGAAGTTGTACAATAAATGAAGCTGCAGTTTGCATAAACAAGCATAAACTGTACGGGATTTGGTTATCCACTTGCTCAATGAAAATCTGATTTCCTGCCAAATGCCTTATTGTTCCGACCATTGAAAATGGGAGGAACTTTGTATTCGGGTGTGTTTTAGTTTTTTTCTTTACGTTTTCCACGCAAAATCAGTTACCACAAATAATCATCGGACAGGGTATATCATATTAAAGCCCTTTTAGCCGTGATTCGAACAAGATGAAAAATTTTCCAAAAAATTTTCCAGTGTCGACAAAACTGGTTTAAAAAGCGATTTTTTAGCTAATTTCGAGCGAATGAGGTGTGAGGGAATCACATGAAAAAGAACGCGATTTCTTGATCTTATATACTTTCTACAGATGTAATAGTGCCAGCTTTGTGCCAGGAGAAGGGCGAACAGCGGGTAAGGAGAAGGAAATTACAGTTCAACCTTTTTGCAAACAGTTTTCCAAAGTGTTGATTTTTTGCCGACAGTGTCAACTTTTTAGAAGTGCCTTTAAGCTCTTAGGAGGGAGTTAGAGGAGCGAAAAAAAAAACGTTTTTGGTTAGTATTTTGTTTCTATAAAATTTCCTTTTTGTGTTTTGGAAGCAAAACCTTTCCTTTTCCTACTTTCTTTGGATTCGCGTTAACTCCAGATTCGCGTGATAAACCAATTAAAAAATCCGATTTGAATAAAACTGAAAACGGTGAATTTTGGCGAAAACAGATAACGGATCTTTGATGAAATTGAATCATCCCACTCTCCCCCAAACCTATCAACATCACAGCATCTCGCCTTTGACCATCGACCATTGTCCACTGACCTTGATCATCAGTTGCGATATAACTGAAGTTGAAGACATTGCAGCTCTGTTTATATTCGTATGGAAAATAAGTTCTTCCCATCTCGTACCACTCCCCCTCCAAATCCCCCTCCCGTGGAAGCTCTTCAGGGGTCAAACTCCGCGCGCAGTTCCAACTGTCGTCTTTGTCATGGCAACAGCAATGCAATAACTGAACAAGATACAACCAAGTCAAGAGACTCGCAACGTGACTTACTATTCTGAAAACCATTTTGAAGTTTTGCTCGAATGGTTTTTGGCTACAAAGGCTGTTTAAAGGTTAACGCATTAATTTGAATTATGTTATGTCAACTTTGGAAAGTTATTGAGAATAAACAATCGACAGTTGACTGCTCATTTTAACTTGGTCAAAGTGTTTTGTTTTGAAAATGTCATTGAATAGGGTTTAAATAACAACGACCTTCAAAAAATGGAGTCAACTTGAGAAACAAATTATAGCTCTATTGATCATAGAACTTTTTTTGTTTTTATCTCTTTTTCTATTAACCTTATTAAGGAAAACCAAACCAAATTAGTGACCAAGGAGTGGCAATCAGCGTGCAAAATTGGAATAATTTTGTCAACTGATCTGACTTTTGACGAAAGTGACGGAATATTTGTGTTCGGGTGGTTTTTTATACAGACAAGTTACGATTTTTTAACCAGCAATTTTTGATGGAATGTTTAAAAAGCATTCGAAAAGTATTTTTTAAATGACCTCAAATTCAGAAACATATTTCACCTACGACCACTTTTTCAGAAAGTTATGAGGTTTTAAAGATTGCCAATTTGGTCAATTTGGGACAGTTATCGCTCAATAAATTAATGTTAATTTTATTCTTCTCAGATAGTGTTCCAAATTAAACTGAGGTATGCTACTTGTTCTATCAAAAACTTTGCCGTTTGCGAATTATATCTATACAACTAACTTTATAGATTTTACATAGTTTGTGTGGGATGATTTGAAATTATCTCAAAAAGTTTTCATAACAAGTAAGTTTTTTTACAAGTTGTGCAACAATCCAACAACAAACTTTTTGAAATATTGCTGAAAGAACACTAACTTGAGCAAGCGCAGAAGGTAACTCAACGGGTTGAACGGCCACTGAGAGTGTTTTAGTCGGTAAGTTCTTATCTAGACCTGGTTGGTTAACTATATCCTATATTTCTAAAAAAAAAGAGAGATAAAATATTACTGAAAAAATGAAAAATTCAAACTATCAAAACTCCTCTCTCCTGCTATTTATCAACCAAATAATCTTATGTACATCTAAAAAAACAGACCTGAATAATAATTTTCAATTTTAATCGTATTATTTCAATTATTACGATTATTTGGTTTTTTTCGTGTGTACGTTTTATGCTACAATATTTTTTTTTGAAAATTTCAATGCTTTTTTACCAAAATAGTTTGTTGATGTAGTTGCATCTCTTTTCATGCATCAGCTTCTCTATGAACTGTTCAGATTCAATTCAAACTTTTAAAATAAAACTCATAACGGAATAAATTAGAGAATTATGTTAAGTCAGTTTTCGCACAAAAAATAGTTTTTGTTATTTAGTGTAATTTTTTTTAGATAATTTTGATTTTTTAAATAATAATACACAGAGGCGAAGCTAGGTCTACCAAAATTTGATATTTCGTAAGCGTCGGTAGAAATTCATTCCAGGCAAAGTTTCCACGTAATTGAGTATTGAATTAGCACCAGAAGAAAACAAAGCCGACAATATTTGAGCAGACACAAGTTGAGCCAAAAAAAATGTTTTTTTTTTATATAAAAAAATCTTTATAGTTTTAAGTCCATCCCGAAGCTATGCAGCCGATAAAACAAGAGCAGAATCACGATGTTGTGACATTCAAATTTTACCGGAAAAGAATTTAGAAACTGTTTTAAAAAGTTTGAACAAAAAACTTTTTTGAATTTTCAACTTTTATACTTAAACGGACATTATTTATTACAATTAAAATTAACAATTTTTTGTTTTTAAGCTGATGTTAAATAAACTCCCGAAATCGGCAAAATATAATCCGAAATCACTAAAGCAGAATAAAGTTTCTCGGCGTAAAAATGTTAAAAAAAAAATACACCAGTCAAAGTTAGCAAATTTAAGAACAACAGGAGCTAATCAATGACACTTGAAACTAAAACAAAAATTGCTAGAGCGCGAAAAAAAAATGAAGTGTTGCAACTAAGTGTCGACAAACACTGATCAGACTATTCAATTTTTTCAAAAGTTCAATGTCAAAACTCTGAAAAAAAGGTCCGGTCAGGTTTGGACTCAAACCCAAGACCGAAACGTGGAAAGGCAATTACATTGCCTCCAGACTACGCGAGAAGGGGCCTCAAAATTGCTAATTTTCGTAAATAACAAAAATTCCAATTGTTCGCAGGAAAAATGTCTAGTTCCCGATTACAAGACACTTGCTTTCGCGAGTGCAAGCAATAAATAAATTTGTTCCAAATTGTGCCTTAATTCAAGAATAAAGAAAATTATCAAGAAAACAGCACCAACTTGAGCAAGCGCAGAAGGTAGTTCAAGCTGTTGAAGCTCCACTGAGAACTTTTACTAAACAAGCGCAGATTTAATCCTTCTTAAAGGATTATAGTTTCAAGCTATTTAGCGTAAAATTTGAACTAATACTTTGAAGCATGCGAAATATATCACTTTGTAGACTTTATATACCGTGTGGAGTGATGATCTAAAAAAAAAATTTCAAAATTATCAAATTGTTCTGTTTTTTTAAGCTTCATCGATTTTTCATAAGACAAACACCGCTCCACAGACCTTAAAAGGCAGTCGAGACATTCATGATTTCGCCCTTGATACGAGCCGTCTTGTTTATATTAATGTCACTTTGACGTAAAATGCGGCATTGACGTGTAGTTGAACGTTTGCTCTTTTCCGATATCATTTGTATTCAAGTTTCACTTACAGTTGCACTCATAGTGTGATTATTGCCACTTGTTTATGGGCAATCATGGCACTAGGCCGGTCCCCTTGGTGAAAATTCTCAACCTAATTAGGCGGGAGCTATTCTTATGACGATGAATGGCGAAATGATGGCAAATAGAAACCAATTAGAATAGTTGAAAACTGTTACAAATTATGTTTCATGCAGAAAACAAAATTGACAGAACCTAAGAAAACTCTCTTCCTCCCGGGTCGAGATCCCGCTCAAAAACCGCTCAAGATATGAGCGGTTTGAGCGGTTTTTCAGCAAGATCTGAGCGGTTTGGGCGGTTTGGGCGGTTTTTTTGGAATAACCACTCAAACCGCTCAAATCTTGCTTAAAAAACCGCTCAAAAACCGCTCATTTCTTGCGGTGATTTTTGAACGGTTTTTCAAGCAAGATTTGAGCGGTTTTTAAGCGGTTTTTGAGCAGTCTTATAAAGAAAACCGAATAAAACCATTAAAAGGCCTGGAAAGGTAATGTGATGCTAAGATGCAGTTGAAATACTATCTACAATTTAAAAAATGTGCTTAACTGTTCTCAACTCAAGCAAGATTTTTTTTCGATGTCTAGACCAAAAACAATGTGAGTGACGTTTTTCAAATGCTCGAGCAAAATAACCACTTGAAATAATGTATATATGTGTATGTATGCATGTATGTATGTATGTTTTTATGTATGTATGTTTGTATGTTTGTATGTATGTATATATGTATGTATGTATTTATGTATGTATGTATGTATGTATGTAATAACGCAGCAACGTATGCTAACTGCCAAATCGATGCACCAAATACCACAAATGGCACCAAATACCACAAATTCTTGAAATTTATACTCTATTAATTCTTCATAGACGTTGCAAATTATCGACCAGGCCTTCATGAATTTTGAAGTTTTTTTACTCTACAATCATGGTTTTTGGATTTGACCCGAAATTGCTTTGATAACTGTGAGCATTGCGCACTAGCTAGAAACTTTTTTCGATTCTTTTTTCCGTTAAATGTAGTCGAGATTTTTCACCTAATTCGAAGCAAGATTTGAGCGATTTGAGCGGTTTTTTAAGACAATTACGCTCAAAATCTTGCTTCAAAATGAGCGGTTTGAGCGGTTTTTGAACGGTTTATCTAAAAAAAAAACGCTCAAAAACCGCGCAAGATTTGAACGGTTTTGAGCGGGATTTTTAGATAAACCGCTCAAAAACCGCTCAAATCTTGCGCGGTTTTTGAGCGGTTTTTTTGAATAAACCGCTCAAAACCGTTCAAATCTTGCGCGGTTTTTGAGCGGTTTTTCTTAGATAAATCGTTCAAAAAACGCTCAAACCGCTCATTTTGAAGCAAGATTTTGAGCGTAATTGTCTAAAAAACCGCTCAAATCTTGCTTGGAATTAGGTGAAAAATCTCCACTCGGGCTGTAGTCTCGCGGTCAGCGCTTGGCGCCGATTTTCACCAGGGAGTTTTTCATAATCAGTTCGTATTTCAGTTCTGGCAAAGTTAAAACACGTATCAGCCCAATTGCAATTTCTACTGATCTTGTATTCAATCAAAATTGGATTTGTTGCCCTGATTTTATTTGTTTACTGTAAGATTTTAGTTTTCAAACATCTGGAAAACTACGAAATTCTGATTTACTGGTGATAGCATTTTTTATCGTTTGGCCCCTCTAATCATTCGATATACCTTCATTAGGTCACTGTTGTATCATAAAACTCACAGTTAGTGCGAGGTGACGGGGGAAAACAAAAACCGGAAAATCAAAAAAAATGTAGCTACCTAACTAAATGAAACTCAAGAAACTTCCAGGGTGACTTCAAATAGAAGTTTTTGTCATGTAAAACACTACAAAGTTAAAAGAATACGTGAAAGGTTTCTGGCCTGCATTACGAGGCCAAACTGTGCATTTTTTGAATTGTAAACGGAACTCTCAACCGGCAAAAAATAGAATTGTTGCAAAATCTGTTTTGAATTCCACAGACAAAAAGCAACAAAACTGTTTTGATCGGAGACGCTCCAAAAACAGGCAACTTTGTGCAATCCGCAACAAATTTTGTGGAATCCTCAACAGATTTTGCGGTGTCCGGAACAGTTTGTGGAAACCACAAAAACAATAAAATATGTGTATACTGAACTTAAACTGTCGGGAAGTCCGCAACTATAAAATAAACCTGCAAATTTTAACCGGATTCCGCAAATTATAACCGAAATCAGCTTATATTTGCGGAGTTCAATTACATTTGCGGAATCCGCCTACATTTGCGCAAACCGGAACAACTAGCTATATTCGCTTGTTGCGGAATCCGCAGCAAAATAATTGTGCCGACAAAATTTACTTAACAAAGACTTTCACGTTTTGAGAAAATCTTTCACGTTTTGACCATGCTTAAAGACCTTAGGATTCCAGTGACCTACAGGCGCCAAATTTTGCCTATCCAGTGCACATTTGGCGTCGTCATGTTCCGTCATGATAGTTTTCAGATATAAATATGATTTTTTAGAAATTTTTTAAAGAAATTTTTTAAAAGTTTAATTTTTTCTTGAAATTCTATTTTTGAAAAAAGACGTTAAAAGAAATATCAAAAACGGTTTCATAATTAAAATTACTTTTTCCTAAGACTTGCCTTGAAGAAATTAGATCAAAAGACACCAATAGATTCAACTAGATCAAATTAATTCAATGATAAATCTAAAAAAAAATTTAAACAATCCAACTAAAAATGCGAAAATCGCAAAAACAAACTTGGAAAAAGTTTGATTTTGAAAGTGGATAAAAAGTTTTTGGGTTTCCGACAGAACAATGTTTTAACTATTGAACGTTTGTTTTCAATTTGGGTGAATTTTGTTTTCAAAAAAAATTCAAAGATAAGTTGTCCTAGAAATTCAAAGAATTTAAAGTCCATTTATTGTTTCCTTGAGTTCAGAATTTTGCCTGAAACCTCTATGAAGTTCAGAGACATTTCACAATTGAAACTGTTTTGATAAATTGACCCTAATTGAAGGAAAAACTTCATATAAAAATTATGCCAGAAAATAAAGCTTAACATCCACTTTCGAAACAGGAAGTTCTTTATGTTTGTTTGCACCATTTCCGAGTTTGTGATGGGAGAGCTAATGAATTTGAATTGAATTCAAAAAGATTCGACAAGCAAAATGCAAAAAAAGGGAATGCAATTTATGATCCCAATTTATGATCCCATTTATTAAAATAAAATAAAACCCGGCGTCAATAAAAGATAAATCATTTCTTTCGAAGATATTTAAAAAGTAAGAGCACAAAATGAAAATGAGCAAGAACAAAAACCGTTGTTTTTTTTCTCGAAACAAAAATCATTAACTTAAACAATTAAAAGTAAAAAACACAGCAAACAGACAACCAGGTTAAGACGTTTTCACTGAAAATAATTTTAACCAACACAACCTAAATACATGTCGTCACAAATACAAAACTTGAGGTTCATTGAGGCCAGATCCTAGAAAACCAAAATACCGAGGTTAAAGAAAACAAAACTGTTGCAGGTCATGAAAATTTGAAATATCCACGAGTAAACCGTTCTTTGAACTCTATCCGCTTTTATTAGTTTCGTTTGCCTGTAATTTTTTTAAGTTCAAAGGAAGTTTGTAGATCAAAACTTGCTAAATTTTGTTGTCAGTTAGTTGAACAACCTATGCAGTCAAATAGTGTAACTAGCTAGAAACTTAGAAAGCTCATTTTGCAAGCTGTCGAGCTTCTTCTTTGTGGAGAATTGTCAAAATCAACTGATAAATAGTCTTTTTTTAAACTGATCAAAGAACTTCGCAGGTGGTTTCAATCGTATAATGGACTATTGGTACCTAGGTTTCGTATTTGAAAAACTCTTTGAACTAATTTCCTGAGGAGCAACTATATGCTGTGAGGCCATATGAAAAAACAGGCTTAGCATTAACTTTATACTATTTGAAGAATACACGTCGAGAAAAAACCATCCTTGTAGGATAAGTCAGGATGTTAAGGCAAGCGATTTAAAAAAATTAACTGGCTGATGAAAAGTTGAACCATTGTCTATTAAGACTCTCACAATTTTGAAATTACCAACATTGTCAATTTTCTTAGACACTTCGCATGGTTTTCACCAAAAACTAGCTGCCTGAATTTTTTTTGTGATAAATGCTGTGCTATTGTTTTTGCTATTGTTTCTGCTATTGTTTTTGCTTTTTTTTTGCTTTACATTTAAAAAAATTAATAATAAGCAAATAATTCAATCATTCTTTTCTTGCTGATCAAGAGCACTACAGATTTTTTATTTACAGATTTTCTAATTCTCAGTTTTTCATTATAATATGTTCGGTGTAGGGAAAAACGGACAGACCTATCTGATTAACTTTAAAAGTTTTGATTGTCTTGCAATTTCGCTAGTTTTTTTCCAAAGTGAAAGAGTACTGGTTACAATCAATTAAACATTGAAAAAGGGTTCCCATCCATCTTAAGTTTTTCCGCAAATTTTTCTCAGGGCAAAGAGCAGTGAATTAGAAAAATAAGTCGGCGTGTAATTTTAGCAATCCATTTTGTTCTATCTGATAAAACGGACAACCTGGGCGCTCGAATGTTTATAATGCAACACTTTGCATACCGATGGTTTTGAATTGAAATTTTAAAAAACTGTCGCGTTTATGGCAAAGTCTTTAAACTTTACAATAAATGCAAGACTTTCGTTTTCATTGATACTTTTGTGCAGTGGGAGAATTGAGTTCATGAATGAGTCAAAAGAAAAAATTTCCGTATCATCATTTATTTAAATTAACAGAAAGAAAAGCTTGCAGTGAATGTTTTTCCTAGAAAAAAACCTCAACAAATTGTCCAAAAACTATTTTAAATGTTTTTGACACTCCAGGATTTTCTTTTTCCTGAAGTTATTTCGTACAATAGGATCAATGCATGCTGCGCTAATCGTTACACTCTAGATCTAAACGTGTTTTAAACTGAAAGACCAAATTATCTTAAATTATAATAATTTTCAATCATTCATTTTTAGCGTTAAGAACGTCTACGTTAATATACCCTTGTACAATTCGTATAAGGGTATATTAACCTAGACGTTCTTAACGCTAAAAATGAATGATAAACCGGAAAACCTGGGCACTCGAATGTTTATAATGCAACACTTTGCATACCGATGGTTTTGAATTGAATTTTTAAAAAACTGTCGCGTTTATGGCAAAGTCTTTAAACTTTACAATTAATGCAAGACTTTCGTTTTCATTGATACTTTTGTGCAGTGGGAGAATTGAGTTCATGAATGAGTCAAATGAAAAAATTTCCGTCTCATCTTTTATTTAAATTAACAGAAAGAAAAGCTTGCAGTGAATGTTTTTCCTAGAAAAAAAACTTCAAAAAATTGTCCAAAAATTATTTTAAATGTTTTTGACACTCCAGGATTTTCATTTTCCTGAAATTATTTTGTACAATAGGATCAATGCATGCTGCGCTAATCGTTGCAACTCTAGATCTAAACGTGTTTTAAACTGAAAGACCAAATTATCTTAAATTATAATAATTTTCAATCATTCATTTTTAGCGTTAAGAACGTCTACGTTAATATACCCTTATACGAGGATGTTTTCCTCAGCGGGGCTTGTAAAAATTAATAGACGTTTCAGCTTCCAGGAGAAACTTACTAAAAAGTATTATTTCTGGTCGTTACAAACTGCAGTGTTTGTTTATCTGTTCCGTCATTGAAAAAAATATTCAAAATTTCTTTCTGACTTTGAATGGTGTGTGACTGGTATGTGCCTTCTATCACAAATGACGCAATGCACCCTCGTTTTTTTGCTTGCCTGTTACGTGTAAACCTTTCTGGTAACCATCAAAGTTGTATAAATCATAAGGGTCGCTATCATTTAGCCATGTTCCATATTTTACGCAGACCAACCACAGTGTTCAACGAAATAACGAGTCAGCTTGACCTTTTTTCAAAACTAAAATGTGAGATAATAAGAAATTTGTTGGCACTTATTGGTTGCCGACTTGCACTAGGAAGAAAATGACACGTCCACGTCATTGATAGGAATACCGATTTGATCTATAATGTCTTATAAATTAACTTCACTTAAACAATAAGTTCCACATTTTTTTTGCTGGATTTTCACAGCGTATGTTTAGTTACTTCGAGTTTCAGCAAAAATCCGTTGAACTAACTAGAACGAGCTGAATCAAATTACCGTACCCGCCATGAACGTGGCAAGATTATTGAAGCTTGAGCTTTGCATTACTTGTAAACTAGGTCCTGTTCAACAAAATACAATAGGATGCAGATCTGGTGAAGTTTTCAACAGAAATCTCGCTTTTGTTTGTTGTTACGGCTATGATAAATTTTTTTTAATAGGCTCTGATATTTAATTGGTGATTCTTTTCTAGGAATTTTTAGCTTGTTAATGACTTCAGTAAAGTGAAAAATACTAACGCTTGGATGGTTTGTCTTCGTGACATTTTCAGTGAGTTTTGACAAAATATCGCCTAAATGAAAATGCACCTAGCTGTAACAGTTTACAACTCAACTTATTCTTGCTGAAAATTTGCATATTTTCCGCACGAGTAAAAATTATTATCTACCAAAAAGAAGTAAGTAATATAAATGTGATAAAAAAACTGGAGAAAAATGTGTTTTTTTTTATACCAAGCAGTTAAGTAATGTTTCACTGAAAAACTCATCTCCACTCAAAACGACGAATTAGAAAAGTTTAAATTATTTTCACTTAACATGCAAAGTTGATTTAACACATTACAAATAAGCATTCAATAAATTTAACCTATAATTGCATACTCCTCTATTTAATTTGTTGAAGTTAATGAAAATGAGTTCTAATGTGAGCAATTCAGTTTCCCCGAGAATCGATTGTTTTTAGTTTTTCCTTATCTTGTCTGAGCTTGCGCTTTTTGTCTTACTCTGATCAGCTGACTGGCGTCGTGATCATTTGACAAATGACCTTGACATTGCCCGCTATCTCCTCTGCATTTTGCACGTCTTCTAGGGCCTGTAGATACTTCGTCTAAAGCAACAAGAACTATAGAACCTTATGAAACCTTGGAAAAGTCTAAGCTTCTTTCAAAGATCCAATAAACAAGGATCATTTTTGGAAACAAAATCATTCACATTTTTCCTCGCCATCTGCACCTTCGTTATCGGAAAGCTTAAAACACCTTCCATTTACCAAATGACAAAAAAAATCCAGGTCAAATTGCAAAAAAATCAATTTTTAGCGCAAGTAACTTTCCTTTTCTTTTTCCTGAAAAAAAAACAATGCCAAAATAAGTGATAAATAATTTCGTTTATTAACACTTTAGAAGTCAAGCATACCAAACAGATAAATGATTTTATCTTGAGGATACCATTTTAAAAGTTTTATAAAAGCTTTATAAACCTAACGCAATATAAGCAAACTGTATCAACAGGTAGGACAAATGGGATTGATACAAATTATGATTGGCTCTTTTCTGACACAGAGGCGAAGCTGCGCTTCGCAAACACTACCGAGAACATGACAAAAAGCAGCTCAATAAAATGCAATAAGTAAAAGTACAAATAAGCCCCCAATTAGTAAAAGTTCGGCTAGTCTCTCAGATTCAACCTGCCACCTAGAGGTTACGAGTCTCACGCACTAACCACTCAGTCAAGGACGCTTAATTAATCACAAACACTAGCCACAAATAAAGCAGAGAATGATGCTATGAAAACTTCAATGCTACAGATCGTGATTAAAGCAAACAATTATAAAGAAAACTTTTATTTGCGAGTTTGGTTAGAAAGAAAGAATGTTCCTACTAATACACTAACACTCGCAAGCTCGTTAGTGCAATAAAAATAACCCGATTTGAAAAAACTGTATCAATAGGTAATTTTTTAATTTCGCTGGGAAATCTGAAAATTACATTTCATTTTCAAAATTAGAAGTCAATCAAGGTTTTCGTAACTTTTACACTATTGCTTTACGCTAGTAGAGTAGGCCTTTTTTGACAGTTGAATTGAAGTGATCTTAAAAAGAAATGAAAAGTCAAACCGCGACAAGATAACTTTGAACCGAAGACTTTCTAAGACTTTTCATGAAAAACAAACGCAAAAAAAATCATCGCGACCTATACAAGAGTCTGGACTACATTCTTCGACTCTCAATAATGCTGGCCCTGAATGATTACATGCTTGTCATTATTGTAAAATTATCTCATCATACTATCTAATTCAAGTTTCTCTCTGTTTCATGAAATGGTCATCAAAACAAATTTCGCACCTCGTAGTCTTTCACCATCTGGTCCAGATCGTCTACTTTGCCTTCCATAGCATCTGCCACTTTTTCCATCTGCTCAATATCCAAGTCACCCTCTAAGTCTCCCAGCTTAGCCAGCACATCCTACGAACAAACATACAGATAAAAAAAATGGTTGTACAAATGAAAACCGAAATTTATACCTTTTTTAAAATCCACAGCAAAAACTACATTAGTTTATACCTCTTTGAATTTCAAAAATCTTTCATGATCAACAGTTCTGAATTAACAAACTCAACATGCAAAAGCTGGATCATTGGTAGTTTTTTCGTATTCCGCTTCTTTTTATTTGCGCTTTGTCTTTCATCATCATTACAGCAATCATTTTGTAAGGTTTTGTCAAAATCACGGGGAACACACATCCCAGATATGAACATTCTGATTTTTCTGCAAACAATGAGTACCTCAAAATCATCCTTCTCCTGTTTGGTGAGAAAGGGAGTGTCTTCTAGAATGTTCTTCAACTGGTCCACTGTGGCTTTGGTGTCGGCCAGAGTACCTCGCAGTTCTTTCGACTTCTTCTCTGCTTCCGCCGCGTCATCAGAAGCCTAGAAAAACAACAATCAACGTCCCAAACAAACCATGACGCGTTCAAATGGCCAGCTAACATTTGCATAATATTTGATGTTTTTATTTCTTAATTAAACTGGAGACCATTCAAATCGAGTATATAATAAACGCCAATGTGTTAGCAATAGCCTTTTAAAACGCTAAACTAATTAACATAGAAAGCCTTGTTTGACCGATGGTGAAAAATTAAAGATAAATTTTCCAAGTACCTTTACTGTTCTTCTACCTTTTGCTGGGCCTGTTTGGCTCCGGTAAGAGGGAGTGTGTCGTCACAACTTCTGTCCAACTGAGCTATCTTGTCCTGCATCAGTCGCACTTGTCCTCTCTCACTTAGAATGAGACCAGTCATCCCGTCCAGCTTAGACCACACATCTTCCACTGCCTAGTTATAACACAACACAAGTAACTACATTCAGTTTAAACACAAGGGCAATTACATCTGGTCATAATCATCATCATCGTATGTCCTCTTCAATTTGATTTCATTATTCATCATTTCATCAATCAACAACCGCGACCTGTACTTCCATCGGAACTACAGAAAACTATATGGCAAACATAGCCAACAGACAGTTGGAAAAGAGTCAATGAACTCAATTAAACAGAAAAAAAACGAAATTCAAAAAAAAAGATGCCTCTCTGAATTTTTAGAACAATTTATGATTGGCACCATTTCGAAAAAAACTAACCAAATTTGAGATAACTGGATCAAAAAGTAAAACTTATATTTTGCTAGGAAATCTGATAACTGAATTCTATTTTCGAAACTAGTAATCGATCAAGTTTTTTGTGGCCTTCCGCTCTTCGTTAGTGGAGTTTGGCTTTCTTCTAACAAAGTAAATGAAAAAATCGAAAGTCACACCGCGAAAAAGTAAATTTTAGTCTAACACTTTTCCTGAAAAAAAAAGTCATCGCGACCTATATAAGAGTCTGAACTACGTTCACCGACCCAAAGCCCAAATTAAGGTCGGAACAATAGAATGTGTCACTTAAAACCAATCAGATCAAAGCAATCAGAGCGAACACTTTTTTGAAGTTCATTTGAAACAGCACTCCTACACTAACATCTCTCTTCCTGACTACTCCATCCAGCACCAGCTGTGCATTCTGGTTGACAGTGTCCACCTGGCCATCGAACTGGTCCTCCCTCCTCGAGGCTGCATTGCACTTGTCAGTCGCATCCTCCATCCTCTCCCTAATCAGAGGGATTCGCCTGTACTGCTCGTCGAAACTACTCTGGGCCGAATCGTTCCCTGTCGCATTCTGGAAACCTGTTAAATGTCCAGTTAAGTTACTCTGTGAGTCGCGTACAGTTTATGACGTAGGCTTAATGTCGTGCTTTAAATACTTACGCTGGGTAATTCCTAGAAC